TGTGCGAAGCTGCAGCTGAGGAGTTCTGGAGCAGATCCACTACCTTCAGTCTGATTTACCCTCTGGATGGTTTTGGAGGTAAAACTGTTTGTACTTGAGGTATTTGACATTTCATCTGCCTGGTGATGGAAATAAGAAGACTAGTGTTGATCCATGTATTCCTGAGTGCCTCTGGTCCACAGTGTTCACGGCTCCTGCTGCTGATGAACTTGGAGATGTTTGATCAGGTGGAAGCAGCGCTCATGCACTGACTCTCCATTTATTCCTGTCTTTAGTTTGACATTTTAGTTCAGTGAGTCAGTTCATGCAGAGCATTGGGCAATAAAGGCGCTTCCAGCTGACTGACTCACCAACAGGCGGCCTGTGAGTGTGTCTCTGATACGACTCCTCACCTGTGAGATCTGCAGGCAGGTGAAAGCTGCAGCTCACACCCACAACCAGCTGTGTGGGACTGCATTACTCAGCGACGGGTAAACTGAGCAGATAAGGGCTGGGCTCCAGTGACCACGTCTGAACCTTGCTCCCAGTGTCGCAGCCACAGGTGGAGTCCTGCTGCTCACCTGCTGTTCCAGGAAATGAAGCTTGGATCCAGTTTGTGGCGGCGGGCGCGACCACGCAGTAAGTCTGACCAGCTGAAGGTGCTTTTACTGTTTAGCTGTGATTGCAGAGCGTAAACACAGACGACTTAAACCATTTCTAGGGTTAGATATCAGCCGGGGCGGTAGAAGTGTGAAAGTGACTCGTAGCACGTTAAGACGGGTCGGTTTGGCTGTGAGGAAGGAACAGAGCGACTGTGTGGTGATAGACGGGTAGAAGAAGATGTTATTTAGTTGTTTGTTTGTGACTGAATCATTAAATGAACACCCCGAGTGTCCCTTTGGTCAGAAACACTGGTTCAGGTAAACACAGGACGCTGTGTTTCTGTGTTTCTGTGTTCTGGTGGCGCCATCACAGTCGAGTCTGAAAACAGTTTCATGTTTGATTTATCGCTGCATTACAATGTTGTGTTCACACCAAGGCCCGGCAGCAGTTCTCTGTCCAGTGTCACACCGGATCGGTCCGGTGCTGCCCTGCATCAGCATTAACTGGAACTTTAGCTGCAAGTCAATTATTTCTTTTAAAATCTATAAATTGTGAATTTCAGACGTATACCGTTAATAAGAGTGTCTTTAGTGGTTCGGATCCAGAGTTAAGATCAACGAGTCTGTTTAGGATTTAAAACTGCAGCTACAGCTATGATCTGTCAAACGATAAAGGACAGGATACACTGCATGGTTATGGGTCGGGAACATTTATTCAAAGGCAGACTGAAGTCTATGAAATCAACTCCAAGTATTTATAAAGTTATCAGTCATTGTCTTTGTTGTTTAAATCAAGAAACTAAACAGTGAAGAAAAGCATCACTTTTTTTAAACCGTATTTTGGAGGAACAGAACTTTGCTCTTAGTTTTTGATTGTCTGTCAGAAACATTAAAAAAACATCATAGCAACGTGTTTCCATGTAGTTACAGCAGCCGGTCCACTGGAGCTCGTAGAACTCATGAACAAACGGGATTCACTTCCGTCCAGTCTCGGCGCCACCAGAAAACATTTTTGGGATGTTTTTAGACTTACGTATTTCAACCAAGTGCTCCAGATGACGCGTTCAGTTCAACACAGTTTGCTCTGCAAAGCGAGCACAACGACCACCACCAGGCAGCATGTGGAGGAACCAGAACCGGACCGGGCCTTGGTCTTGTGTCATTTACTTGCGGTTTAATTTCTACTTGAGGTTAAACTTCCTGAGCATGCAAACATCTCATTTTTGTTTGGTTTGGAGTTATTTTCATCTTATTGGGCAAATTCTATAAAAAAAAAAAAAACAGGTTTCTGAACATTTGTGAGGACGACGGCTGGATAACTGCTGCTTCTCTTTCATCCTCCAGATCAACAACGTGAGCATGACTGTTCCCTGGAAGTCACGGGCTGACCTCCTCCTCATCTGCTCCGTACTCTGTGCAGCCAGAGGTCAGCAGCTATTTTTCTTTTTTATGACTTGCAGATGTTATTTTTAAATATGACATTAGTGCTGCTCCTCAGAGCTGAGAGGAAAGACGGAGTCACAACCAGTGTGCTTCCACCTCCCTCATCCACAGCTCATTTATTTCATCCACAGCTTTCCTCTAACACATTTCCAAAAGGCTGCACAACATTTCAGTCAGCAGTTATTAGTCAAATAATGACGTCTGTCTTAACCTGCTGAGCTGCACCGACGGTAGAAATGTCTTGATGAGTGTCGCTGTGCACATTATTTTCTGCACTTTGTTGTCTAAATCCTCAACTATGCTGCATAATTTATAGGTGCACAAGTACATTTATTGTATTTATTTTATTCTACATTTGCAGAGATGTAATAATGATCAGTTTTAAATCACTCTACGGTAGCTGGTGTGACCGGATGCACTGAGGATTAGGACACTGGAAATACCTGATGTTATGTGACCCTACAGGCAGAACACACATGGACTGGCTGGTAGCTTCATGTAGCGCATTCAGGAGAAGGACTAACAGTATGAAAGAGAAAAAAATCATGTGGCAGTGACCATAAACCCTCTGTTCTATGGGTTCAGTTCAAACAGTTTGCCGAGCGGAGCTCCTCTGAACAAATCAGAAACTCTATAAGCTGCCAAAAGTAATGCTGAGCAACGGTCAGCTTGAACCTGCAGTACACCATCCATCCATCATCTCTACACCTTAACCCTCACCAGGGTCATGGGGGGCGGAGCCTATCCCAGCTGACTCAGGGTGAAGGCAGGTTCACCTGGACAGGTAACCAGTCTATCACAGGGCTACACTTAGAGACAGACAACCAAGCACACTCACATTCACACCTACGGACAATTTACAATCACCAATACGAATGTGATGTCTGAAGGACTTGTGATGATATTTTAGATTCTTCTTTCCGTTACTGCACCGATCAGCCACAGCTGGTCCTCCTCTTGCCACTGAACAGCTCTGACCCACTGGGTCATTTCGGACCTTTGGAGTTGTCCTGAGGCGTCTGGAACCAGGACATCCACACCTTGTGCTCTTTGTTGTGTTGCTCAGGTGGTTTATGATGAGTTTTGACTTGCTGTCAGTGAGAGCTGCTGCTGTGGGAGGTTCACCGAGTCTGCAGCCATGTCCACATGAGAGCCAGGACCTCAGGCTTCAGAACATGAAGTGATATAACAAAAGGATCCATGTGGTTCACTTCACCTGGTTTTAATGTTGTGGCTGATGGAGTACAGCGATGGTGTAAACACTGGACCCAGAACTCAGTAATGTGCCTCCAGTGTAGCAGGTCAGACAGGTTTTCTTTTGTGCTATTAATAGTTAATAATCAGTAACTTTGGGGCTTTCTTGAAGAAAAAGTAAACAGTGACACCAAACAAGCTGTTGGAAATCTCATCGTCCTCATCAGAGTGTTCACAGCCGTCCTGAGTCCAGACATCAGTCACCGTCTGAGAAACACAACAACAGCTTTTCCTCTTAAAGATGCAGCAAAAGTAAAGAATAACCCGCTTTTAATGCTCAGTGTGTTCAAATTAATGCTGTGTTTGAGTTTCAGTCTTTTCAAAAGCCAACAAAACCAAATCGATGTCCTTTGTGATCTTTGTGTACTCTGAGCAAACTCAAACACATCTCAAGCACCGACCGCAGCAGAGCCTCCAACATGCAGCAGCATCGCTCAGAGTTCAGCCAGAGTTCCTCTTTGTGTAGAGCAGAGACGTGAGATGTTCTTACTTCATGTTCTTACGTTGTATTCTGGTGCATGACTTCATGAGGTTGCTCCACGTGTGCTCTCATGTCAACACCTGCAGCAAGCTGCCCAGTGACTGACTCTGGGCTTCAGAGTTCTGTTCAGCCGCTCTCACAGCTGCTTGTTCATGTTGTTATCCAATCAGCTGTCAATGGGCTCAATGCAGTGCACAGCAGCCTCCAGAAACACATCAGCAGCTTCAGCTAATGATCCCATCAAACAACAGGCGTTAGCTCTGAATCCAGCAGCGTGGGGACGAGTCTGCAGACGTGATGTCTCAGAGGAGGGTTTCCAACGTCACGTGGAATCCGTGACAACAAGAACTGAGGCTGTTTTGGAGCAAAGGGAGACCCGACCCAGTTCTAAATGAATTCCTGAACCAAGTGTTTGTATATTTATAACATGTCGGCACAAAGTCAGAGCCCCACGTGAGCTGTAAATAAGAAATAAAGGCGCTTCCATCTTCTGCTGTAAAAACATCCCACAGTTAAGCTAACACTGAGGCAAACCCATGAATGCTCCATGATCCAGCTTCACTCATTCTTCTGTCAGCTCTGAACACAGCTGAACAGTTTAAAAACACACCGATGCTCCCGTAGAGGAAAAGGCGACACGTTCCAAACACACCAACACCTGCACGACAGCATCCTGATAAATCCTGTCTTTTGTGTCCAGCGGCATCAGAAGAGGTCCAACTGGAGCCGCTGAATTCAACCGTGCTGGAAGGTTCTGATGTCCAGTTCAACGCCACGGTGGTGGGAACATGGCGGGTCATGACCTGGTCGGTCCAGGAGTTTCTGGTCCTCACTGTCTCCTCAGCTGGTGGCATAATCCCATCGTCAGAGCAGTTCTCTGCCAGGTTTTCCAGCGACAACCGCAGCGTGGAGTTCACCGTCCATAATGTGACCCGCAGTCAGTCCGGTCCAGTCACCTGCACCGTGCAGGGAAACTTCAGACCAAAGACAGCACAGCTTTATGTTCAAGGTGAGGTTTTTACTTTGCTTCATGACTTGTGGGCAGGCGGGGCTTTTAGTACGACTGCTCTGACCTCAGTGTGGATGCAGGACACCCAGAACAGAACTGCTGACGGTCGGTGTGAGGGAGGTGTAGTCAGTGGAATGAACTCTGGAGGGCAGCAGTGAGCTCCTGTCTGTCTTCTCAGAAGCTTCTGATGACAAAGAATAACTGATGAAAAAGAGGAACAAACAGCTTCAAACCCAAAAAGACCCAGAGGGGAAGAATCTGTGTGACAGTGTTTTAGATGTTCGGGTGTCTGTGTCCACACAGAAATGTGAGGGATTCTCTTCACGAGGACTTACTGACGTGTGGAGAAACATCCAGCTCATGTGTACAGTCGTGTTGAAGCGTGGCCACTTTAGTTTGTGAATGAAACGGATTGTAAAAGGATTGTAAATGCTTCTGCAGGAGTCCAGGTTGTGTTGTGGGAGGATGAGGAGCGCCTGTATGACAGAGGATAAAGATCAATAACAACATGTGAAAATATGCTGGAGGCAGCGTTTCCATCGATGTGAAGGCAGTCACAGGAACAATCCAGCATGTGTCTGATTGTCTCATGTGTTTTAATCAGTGTGGGATGCTCCAACACGCTCAGTCTCCTGCATACGTATGTACGTAAATAATGATGCAGGAACATCTGAAGAGTCTAAAACTAGCTGTACATGTTCTAGAAGGACTCGACCCTCCTAACAGCCAGTAGCTTCATATCAAACATGTACAAACACGTCAGCAAATGTTCAGGTGAACAACAACACAAAGGTCCCGTGTTATCTCAACATCTGCACATGTTTAAGTCGAGCTCAGGTCAAGTTCAGAGGCCAGTGACTGAAGTGTTTCCTCTCCTGTGATGAGTCTCCTTATAGCAGAACAACATGCTGTAGGACTCAGCAGTTAACGGCCTGAATGGGACGCTCTATACGACTGTCCTGATGCTCGTTGTTCTGCAAACGCTGGCTTGTAAAAGCTGTAGAAGTGGGACATGTTTAACATCAGTGCCTAGAGACGGAGATGTAGGAGCTTCACACAGATCTCTGATGTTCTGATCAGAGCGACTCCCCCTTAAACAAACGTGAGAAACATTTTGCTGTGAAACACTTCCCGGTCGGCTTGGCTGTGACCTCTGTTCATCAGCTTCAGCCTCGGCTCCTGAGATGTTTCCCCAAACAACCGGCCTTAAACCAAACCCCTCATGCAGCAGCGTGGAGCAAATCTGCTCCACATGTGGCCTCTGTACGCTCAGAGCTCAGCCTGACTCTAATCTGATGGTGCTCTGGCTGTGAAACATCTGGGCTCGGCTCTGGCTGTGGATGGATGCTGATTGTGAAGCTGTGGTGGTTCTGGCTCATGCTGCTGATTAGACCCTGACTGCTTCTCTGTGAGGAGACGTAACAGAAGGACGCTGACCGTCAGAAGAAAACACTGCTTCACTGCAAATGAAGCACAGTTTCATACCGGTGGAGAACAGGTTTAGTCTTCTCTCATGGCAGGAGTGCAAAAGATGAAGACGGCAACAACCAGAACTCAAGGTTTTAAGATGGTGGTCCAGAAACCACCCGTCTGTCATGTTCCCTCTGCTTCAGTCTGTCTGTGATGAGCAGCAGCTCTCACTGAGCGTCACAGTGAGCCGTCATCCTGTCCTCCACACAGCTCAGTAACGGTCACGCTAAGCTCTTGTGTATGTACGACATGTCTACATTCATACATTAGACGTTTTCTGTCCGGTCACTTTATAACTAGTTGCTGTTTCCTGACCTCCAGCAGAACAAACCCAGTGAATGTGTCATCATCCGGCTCAGAGAGCGTGGAACAGCGGTGGCTCACCTAAAAAAGGAGTTTGACTTGAAAGAATAAATGTGTTTTAAAAATCACCAAATGCTGAGGATAGAAGTAGAAAAGCCTCCAGAAAGTCAGAGCTGCAACACAACACAAGGTGGTGCCATGGGAGAGGCTGGGGACGGACCAGGGACAGACGGCTGCCTCCATCCCAACCAGGAACAAACCAACCACATTCATTTACAAGAGATCAAGCATTTCTAGGTTTAGACGCTGGACTGTTTTCAGCTCAGTGAGACGTTGTGTCTCTGGGACCAAGTGGCCTCCAACATGTTAGTCAGCACAGAGGTTGAATTAGTAAAAACACACATGAGCTGTTTCTTCCTGTTTTTTTGAGCTAATGTATGAAGTATGAATTGAATAATGCATTTATTTAACTGAGGAGCCAAGACTGTGATGGGACCTCAGCAGCTGAGCACTGGGTCAAACACACTTTGTCTAACTTGTCTAACTCCACTCTGTCTCGGTTTGTCAGAGAGCGGTACGGTCAGCATCGTGGGAGGGAACATGACGGTGGATCAGGACCAGCAGGTAGAGCTCCAGTGTCTAACAACTGCTTGGTTCCCCGTTCCTGCTGTCAGCTGGACCCAGAACGGTGCAGCTGTGAACAGCAGCTTGTACAACACCACCAGCATGGCTGACGGGGATTCCTTCAACTCCACCAGCGTCCTGACGTTCCAGGCAGTCAGCGACACAACGGTCACATGTCTGGCGACTGTGCCGACACTAAAAAACCCACAATCCAGCTCCATCTTCTTGACGGTTGGTAAGAAAGTTTCACACAACGTTTAGCTGTTTGTAAATGAAGCACAGAGCCGTCAGACAGGATTCCTGCCTCTTGTGAAAGGGTCCAAAAAGTAGGTACAAGGGAAAGTTTCTGCCTAATAAAGAGTAGAAAAGTGGAGTCCATCCATCCATATAGTCTGCTTTAACCTCAGCATGTTTCTGGACTGTGGGAGGAAGCCGGAGAACCCGGAGAGAACCCACGCTGCACGGGGAGAACATGGAGACTCCACGCAGGAAGATCCCGGGTGTCCTCACCGGGACGCCAACCGGCGACCTTCTAGCTGTGAGGCCACGGTGCTAACCACTGATCCACCTGCAGCCTCCAGAGGAAACTTGAATCTGACGAATGTCTCTGACCATAGTTACAGTTTTACTTTTTCACTTCATGTCTGGTGGTTTTCAGCCAGTATTTACATTTTCTGTCGGTGCTGGTCAGGTTTCAGACTTACTGGGTCAGGGTTTGGGTTCAAACACGCTCTGCAGCAACGCTTAGCGCTGGTTTCAGAACCGGTCCAGGGTGACGACTCTGATGGAGGTTTTATCAGCACTTAACCACAAGACGACAGGAGTCGTGCTGCCGAGTTATGAAGGAGTTATGAAGGTTGCTTTCTGTCTGTCAGTGGTCAGGATGGACCGTCACACATCCACTGAGTCTGCTCCAAAGGTGGAGGAGGTCTCCACTGGCCATGTGTGTGGGGATGGATACCAGCTATTTAATGTGCTGATAACATTTCAATCATTGCTCACGTTCTCATATCACATGGTTGAATTATCTCCTCACAGTAATAGTTTTAATTAGCTCCAGTAAGACAACATAGAAACTGAGGGTACGTTTGTATTTGCATCACATGGATCCGTCTGTCTGGTTCTGCTTCTGGCTTCCTGTTTGAACTTTTGTTCGTGCTGTGGTCTTAATAAGGGGCAAGAAGGAAAAGGAACAAGCATCTGTGTGTCTCAGATTGTCCTTTAAACTGTCCACTGTGAGGCTGACAGTGTTTTCAGAGTGCAGTGCTTCTCTGCCTGATCAAGGACAACTGATGTCTTTATTATGTCTCAGCTGCATTCATGTGCATTTTGCAGTCGATGTCCTGTGAATGGCAGAGAAGCCACAAATAGAGCTCTGCACCTGATATTAATGTATGACTCAGGTAACTGAGAAATAATCCAATAAAATCAGCTTTTAATTCAATACAAAACCCATTCAACATACGATACGCAGCAATTACATTAACGGCCATAACGCTGAGAGAACAGCTTCAGAGGCAGCAGCACCGAGAGGCCACGACCCAAACACAAAGAAAGATCCTGTCTGATCTGCAGCTTGCAGGGAAAGGCAATATGCAGCTTCATTATGTATAAGAGAGACATGTTTAGAGTTTTATCTGGATGGCAGGTTTATATGTTGATGCTCAGGTCAGTGCAAGCAAAACATCTGCACTGATGTAAATACAGAAATACACGAGTGATGCTGAGCACTCAGTGGTTCAGTATGTTTTCACCTGTATGGTGAGTGTTTCACAGCTTCCACATGAATGTTCTGCTCCTCTCCTCCTCTTGGGTCGAATGATTTGACAGTAATTAGCTTTTAAACTCCTAATTGTGCTCTTTCATCCTGAACAGTTCCCAAACCTCCTGACTGGACGGTGCTGATCGCTGTGGTCGTGTCCTTAGGAAGTGCTGCTCTGCTGGTTCTGCTCATCATCGGGATCATCTTCTGCTACAGACGCAGGAAAGACAAAAGTGAGAAACTCCTCACATCCATCCTACTAGTACTGTTATAGTCCAGCCCACATCATGGCAACAGACAGACGCCAACCAATGACAAGAAGCAGAAATGTTGACCTCACTGGTTCTTCTCCAGCTAATAAGTCGTTTTCTATCTCGTCCGCTCTAGAACCCAACTATCAAGATGAAATGAGGTAAAAAAGCAACAAAATGCTGGATGTCTGGCCACCACTCGCTCATTTTACTGCTACATAACTCAGTGTTTCTTCAGCCATGTTCTCTGTTGAACATACGTTGTGTTTGTGTTGCAGGAGAGTGACGAGCCAGTCAGGTGGCATCAACACAGCCGGACAGAAGCGAGGACAGGACAACGCAGCATATGCACCGGAGGGTCAGACAAGTGAGACGCACACAAGCTGTAGTGAAAGTGTTTCTGTGTGACGGGTTGTGTTTATGAAGCAACAGGTTGGAATGTGTGACAGAATGAGGTACAAAGCTCTCGCTTCTGTTCGGCCAGATTGTCTTGTTTGGGAGCCACACACCATATTTAGAAATAAGCGGCGCATGAGCACAGCATCGACTAAACAAGGCCTCACACTCACATCCTGGATGAGGGAGTGATGCAGGACCCAGCTGCACCAGGGAGGACTTCCCTCTAAAATTAGTTTTGGATTAATACACCCGATTCAAGGGTTATCAGACCATTAAATGGCTGATCATTGCAGATTATTCCCATAGCTATGGGCCAGTAGGGGTTAGGGTTAGTCAGTGGATGTGTAGCCCACTCTGATGACCACGGCACAGGAAGTAGCTGCAGTAACGTTGGTCACCTCCTGCAATGTGCCTGTAAAATGTTAAACATTAAACTCTAGATAAAGTCAAGCCTCCTGCAGTCCCCAGATGCAGTCGTCTTTGTAAGAGTTAATTTGTGGTTCTACCGTCATTAAATAAGCTGATAACGGCCTACGGAGAGGTTAACGAGGTTCATGATAACGAGCCTACCTAGACAGAGGTCCCTATTGGCCCATATGTACCAGGAAGATGACGGTGACCATTTAACGGGTTGATAACATCCAAACTGGACGGTAATCAGAAAGTGACAAATGGGCGCCGCTACAGCTCACCTGGTAGAGCTGGCGTCCCAGGTGCAGGGCTACAGTCCTGATGTGGAGGTCATGAGTTCCCTCTCTCTCTCTCTCTCTCTCTCTGTCACTGCACTCACAAATAAAGGCCAAAAAGATAATTAAAAAAAAAACAGTGACTAACACACCTGGAACGTAGAGATTTGAAACCTGGAGTTCTGAGGCTGCCCAGAACAGCCTGGCTCATGTGTCTCTGCTCCGCCCACAGGTGGCGCTCCCAGTCACCTCTCCGACAGCGGCTTCTTTCAGGTAAATGTATTATGTGTGTATACATACCAGATAGGATTATAATTGTTTTCAGTTCAACACGATGCCCCGTTCATTCTAATCAAAGCTGCTCATGAAGCATGTGCTGAACAACGTTCTGGAGAGCGTCCTCAGACGGGCCTACAGAACATGTGCATTAGCATCCTTTTCCATTTAAGTTGGTAGAGATCACACTCATGGTCGTACTGCTGACCAACAGCTGTGGGCTTCATAATGCCCAGTGGAACCAGAACAAGAAGTTTGGAGAACAAGAACTTCCTCTTGTCTTTTTGAGGTCAGTAGTGGAAGCGTTAATGTGGTCAGAGAGCGCTGCTGATGACGGCCCAAAGCTTTCTGCTTTTCATATGCACAGCCTCTGATGACGTTTTCTACTTTATTAGGATCTCATTCATACAAAGAAACAAACCTTTCAGCTGCAGGCTGTTTCATAAAAAGCCACCAAAGTGTTTAAATACGATCTGAGTCACGTCAGTGTTCCCATGTCGGGCGTTTTTCATTCTGCTGTGCTGCACAGATAGCTGTCAGTAAACACAGTTTGATAAAACACTACGTACATCACAGCTGGCATTCATTACATCACAACACGTTTAGTGCACGTCAACATTTCATCAACTCACTTAGAGAGGATTGATTTATACAGATTACTTTGCTCCAACGAATGAAATGAAGAAATTACCAATTTATTATCGTTAATTATGAAGATGCTAATCATTCTGTGCTTCACTTATCAGGCTGGTACATGATGATCCACTGCTCTGTCATTCAGCTCATTTCAGAGATGCTCATAAACAAATACATAACTCAAGTGTGCAGTTAGAGTCCAGTCAGGCCGAGCTGACTGCCGTTCCAACATGTGTTGCATAGATTTCAAATAACAGAGGGTTGACCTGTTTCATTGTTTTACCTGCAAATCTTGGCAAGCAAACTCTACACACAATGATTAAACTTGTTTGGTTTCAGATGCCTGACGTTGTGAACATCAGCCACTCAGGACAAGGCAGCAGCAGCACCGACAACACGGTGGACGAGTCCGGCTTCAGGAAGCACAGACATGTCACCATTGTGTGAGAACAGAGCACATCACCTGAACGCCCCTCTGCTTTGGTTCCTAACGTCTGGAGGAAGGTGAGAAGAAGAACTGGATCTGCTCAGACTGCAGCGGCTCAGGAGAGCCAGGAGCAGAATTAATGAGTCGCATCAGCAGAATCGAAGCTTTTACAATTACAGGAAAGACACTCAAATACATCCGGATGTAGTTCAAATGAAATGTTCAAAACCATCCCCGTAGACTTTGTGTGTTCTCCTACGTCTGTACATTTCTTACATTTGATCCTCCTGCTTATCGGCTGTTTTCTGACCAGCGGTATATTTTTTAATACCTGATGAAATATTTACTGAACAAATGAATGAGTTTGCATAAAACCAATAGTTACAATAAGGAACATTTAACTTGCAGAAACTTTCAGCTGGATGTAAAAATTAGTTTTATGTGTAATAAATGACATATTATCATCTATACGTGTCTATTTACATTTAAATATTGAAACACCACCCATCCACACAGTTCATCCTTTTCATTCATAAACTCTGCAAAGCGAAACCTGTGATGTGTGAAACCTGTCAGGATTCAAAGCCTTCTGTGAAGAAGCAGCCGTTTTTCTCTCATACGTCACAGCTGTGTTTATGATGGAAATCTGATGTTTGTTGGTCGATCCGCTGCTCCACCAACATTTCAGACAGAACCTTTACCAACTGGCTGCGATGGACCAGATAGTGAACACTCCTGTCAAATGCTCATAGACTGCTCCACACCAGAGTAAAAAACACATTTCTTACTCTAATCGCTGACTGTTTTGGAGTTTGACAACACTGAGAGCAAAAGGAGGGACTCAAGCCGTCCAGCTGAGCCGGTGGTGGCACCACTGGACCACAGCAAAGCTCTGAGATGGGAAACATGTCAGCAGTGTTCTGGATGGTTTTGCTCTGATCAGAATAAACCAGATTAAGATTGACGTGTGTTTTTCATTTCATGACTTCTTGTGAGTTATGGGATTGTTTGGTTCTTTAGTTTTTCACAGTTCTGCTGTAACGCAGGAGCAGCTGGTCACATGTGGATGATTTGTGCAGCCTGATGACTTTGCTTCAGTTTACGAGGCTACAAGCCAAGAAGTTTAAAAATCACTGCTGTAGAGCAGAAGTGCATTCTGTTCAGTGGTTCAGATCCAGTCTGACCAGTCAGCAGGTTTGCTGAACCAGCTCCACTCAGGCGACCTTTACTTGGCAAGAAAACTGGACTTTGTTGGCTGAGACGCAGCAAACTGCTTCTGGATGAGCTGGAGGATGAGCTGGAGGAACAGCTGGAGGATGAGCTGGAAGATGAGCTGGAGGATGAGCTGGAGGCAGCACTCACTGTGGACCAATCAGGTGATAACACTGGGCTCACGGTCATTATCAGTCGTCACCAATTAAGGTTTTAATTTAATTTGTGACTGGTTTAATGTGAACTTTTTCAGATTGCCACTGAAAGTCTGAGAGGAGGTTTGAAGTGTGTGACTGAAGGCTTCAGCGTCCAGACGCCTTCGAGCTCTCAGGGTTCTGCAGAGGGACGGTTCCACCGCTGACTGTCTGTCAGAACCAGGCTCACTGAGGACACGGACACGTTACTTCCTGGTAGAAACGTGGATTTTCAAAGCACAGATTAACTTTGAGATGTAAATATAAATGTAAATGAAAATAACTGGCTGGCTTCAGGTGAACACGAGCTGATCGGCGTCACGGTTTAGTCTTTCTGAACTCTTTGTATTGTAAGACCTGATCCACAGACTTCCTCCAGCCCTCCTCCATAAACATATCGCCTGCTGCACCTTTAAGCCTGGACTCTTTGAAAGGCAGAGGAACACACTGTGGACATGATATTGACCTAATTTCGCCTAAAATGTTGAATTATTTATGCAAATACAAAGACAGAGTTTTTGTCTGTACGTAGCTCCAGATTGGTCGAGCCCACGGTTTGTAAAGCCTAATCAGCTCCTAATTACTACACTTGGAAAAAGAACAGACTACTTTCATCTCTTTTCTCTCCACAGGAGTTTGGAAGCTGGACAATCCCAATATTCAGTCCACAGAGATTCTGAGTGTGAGTAAAGTAAGTGAAAAGTGAATCCTGATTCAGTGACTCTGATACGAAGACGTCTGGATGCAGAGACTCGCCATCACAGCGTCCACGTGTGCAGACGTGTCGGCTGTAATGTGTCTCTGCGTCAGAACAAATGGACTCACGCTGAGGACGCTTGTCAGAGTGTGTTGATGGAGAGCGAGGCGCTGCTGCGAGGAGCCGACACTAAATCCGATTAGCTGCACTGTTTATGTCTCCGTGTTCGAACTACATCAGCTCCAGTAATGTTCTCCTCCATTTAGCTTCTTTCACATGAGATCAACGCACAGTTATGAAAGAAGATCCTCATTTTGTTTCCTTGACTGTGAGGCCGGTGTTGCTTGACGTTTCTTCAGCTGGTTGTTTGGACTTTCTGCTGGGAATCAGCTGTAGCAGCTTATTTGAGCCTTTTTGTGGCGTTAACACAAGTTACAGCATCCTAATTTAATGTGATGAGCAGAAGAAACTGGTTCCTCCTGCGTATAGATAATTACTGAAGCAGCAGCTGGCAGTGGCAGAATACATTAATGATTAGAACCAATAAAACTAATGAATGGAGCTATGGTAATGGCTATTGATAAGGCATATATATATAGTGTGGCTTGTCAGGTCGTGCTGGCTTTCAGGGCCCTTCCCTAAGCAGTTTCACCGTTACATAAGGAGAGCCTGGCAAATTAATCTCCCCAAGCACACTTCAATCATCAAATTGGCTGTGTGGGGCGAGATTGGATGGCACGCACGCCTCCTGCTGGCATAATCCACCGGCTGGCACAACATAACGGGCAGTAAAGTGTTGCATATTGACCAGACAGGATTAAATTGGGAATTTTGGCTGCTGCTCATTTTCTGTTCATGTAATATCGCCTTCAAAATCAGCTCAGTGCCTGTTCTGTGCAAAGAAATGCTCCTCAGCTTCCTTCATGCTCAGTAGAAGACATTGGAAGTTGGAGATTTTAGTTAAGTTTAAATATAATTGGTAATAAATGGAACAAAAATGGTTCATTTGGATGTTATTTCACAGTATTTCTGTTATAAATCACACAGAGCTGCCGTGGTTTGATAGAAATGCACAAATCCCAGTTGGTTGATCAGGGAGGATGAACTGTATTTTAGCAGCAGTCATACATCACTACACATTATATAGTGCTGTAGAAATAAAGGAGGAGGATTCCTTTGTGTCATGATCAGGACTGACTAAAGTGGACAACGCAAATCTGACTTTGTGCACATAGAAATCTCTGTCTGTTGATATTTTCCTTTTGCAGGAGGAATCTACTGCATCATGCCGAGAGGTTTTGCTGATTTGCCTTATTTGCAATGCAAATGTGGCTGATTTTAGACCTCACATCACACAGTATGATGCACTGATCAGAACTGTCACAAAGAAGTTCCACTTTTGTAGAAAGCTGTTTCTTCACAGGAGCAGTCCTAAAAATAGCAGGTCTGGAGGTAGCAGCTATTCTGCTATAAATGCTTCAGCAGAATCACAAGAGGCTGCAGGATGAAGCTGGGTGGGTGTCAGGCTGACGGAGGGAGGGAGGACTCGCCCAGCCTCTAGTAATGGATAACCCTGCAACTTAGCTTGCAAAGAGGGAACGTGTGAGTGCCCACTTTGTCAGATTGTCAATACGTCTCCAGGACGTAGAGGCAGAGTGGGTCTGGAGTTTAGAAGGAGTTTGCAGATTTGGTCTCTGCAGGAGCCAATATTTTCACCAACGCTCAGCGCTGGGAGCATTCCCATCCACTCCTTGTACGCCATCTGGATGAATTTATACATGCATTCACTGGAAAATCTCATCTTTTCTGAGCTTGTTCAAGAGCTTTTATTGAAAATGTATTTGTTGTAAATTACTGAAAGTAAGTGAGATTTTCTCATATAATACCTGCAGTGCATATGTCTGTTATACAGGAGACCCGTCATTCACTGTCCTTCTGCGGTATTTTTTATTATTGCTTTAGCTAATGATAATGACCAAGTACCTGTTGCAGCAGCAGAAGTCCAGACTGGAGGGTTAGGGTTAGAAGCTGGAAGCTGGTTCAGTGTAAAAGGATTACTCGGACATCTAATGAAACGGAGCTCCTTAAACAAATGAGCTTCACCTGTGCTGCTCCTCTGATGAAAGGTGAAGATGTCTCTGGAGGTCTTCAGACTCTCCTCAGCTACGGCTCAGTCCTGCTTGTTTTTGGTTCTGTGATTGTTGTGATCATAAATCTGGTGAGTTCTCATCATGTGGCCTCGCTTCTGCACAACATGGGTCCAAAAAGAGCCGACAGATTTTCTATGTGCGATATCTTTTCAATAAATTAATGTCATCATTCAATATTCCAGGTATTCCTCACTTAACTTGTTTCTGATCATTATACATCCTTCTTTTATCTTTTCCTTTCCTACTTTTTGAGTAAAAACACTTTTTGTATCACGACCCTTCTAATGGACCAAAAAGGACCAAAAAGAACCAAAAAGAACCGGTGACTGTTATGTCATGTATGGCTGAGTGTTTCTCGGCTACATCTCTGAAATGAATATGTTTTATCATTTACTATTTCAAATATTCAGTAAATATTCTTCCTTTTTGTTTAGCACAGGTCATCATATTTAGTTTTCCTTTCTTACTTTATGAGCTAGCGTAGCTTTATGCTATAGCTTTATCAAGTTTACATGCATGGGTCAGAATGAGCTTCCTGTGGTACGAACATGTTCACTGTGGACAACTAGTCACTGACACACAGCTCACAGACCAGCACAGCTCCTGTTACACATCCCAAATCTACAAGTCCTGTTTTATCATTATTCTAATCCTAAGAAGACATCTGATGATTTGTGTGTGTAATACAGCACAGAGGAAACATGTTCAGGTTCTCCTAAAAAAAACCCCTCACAGTAAAAAGATGTTTGTACTGATCCAGCTGCAGCTCTGAACCTCTCCCAGATCACAGACAACATGTGAACATTGTGACTCTGATAAAGTGAAGCAGAACAACATCAGAGAGTTTTTAGTCCAGACGGTTCAGGCGAGCTCTCATTCTGGCTCACTGGTGACCATCTGAATGTTCTCATGTACAAACTATATATTCCACTAGTTTATCACTGATGGGGTTCAATACATCCACATACAGCAGCTCTTTAGTTTCCTGAACATCCAACCAGACCGCTGTCTGTGTTCCGCGTCCTGATGCTGCTCAGACTGCTGTGGAGCTCCTGTGGTGACGCAAGGCTGTAGCTCCATCATGATTGGTCGATTTCAGTGATTGACACCGCCTTCGAATCATCAGAGCCAATAGAGTACAGCGATAGCCACCAAAATGAGATTGACAGCACTGTTAGCCAATCAGAACCAGCAGGACGCCATCTTGAAGACGAGCCCCTTGCTGAGCGAGTGTTCCCTCCTTAGCTCCCTGAGGCTAACGAAGCCTCCAAAAGACGCCCGGAATGATTTCAGTGTAACATAGGAAGTAGTACTAACTGCTTCCGGTGTGGATTTACCGACAAAATAAACTTTTCACGGCTGAACAGTGAAGGTAAGAGACATTTTACAGCTCCAGTTTGGGTTTGTACTGTTCTTTGGGTTGTTTCTCGCTGATGCTTTGATCTCAGAGAGCTTTGATGGACGTGTCTGGACTCTGTGGACCGTCTGGTTCCGTCTGAGGGCTGTTGGAGCGTTTAGCATAAAGCGCTGGAGCCAGAAATGTGGCGAGTGGGTTGACTGGGTGGCGCGATGTCGATGTCCATGTGTGATAATTCATTTAGTTGGTGTTTGAGTTGTGCAGAAATATGAGTCACACTCACCGACACCCGCCGGCGCTCACAGCGGGGCCAACTTGGTGACTTGCTCTCTCAATCTGGCGACTTTCCAAATCCACTTGGTGACTTTTTTTTGTCACAAGTGACTAGAGACAAGTCCAGCGACTCCTTCTCGTGTTACTGGAGACTGTTCTGGTGTTTTGGAAACTGTGATGTGAAAACTCGTGTCGGTCTGCACTTCCTGTCCTCAGAGAGCACTTCCGGTCCTCAGAGAGCACTTCCTGTCCTCAGAGAGCACTTCCGGTCCTCAGAGAGCACTTCCTGTCCTCAGAGAGCTCCTCCGTCCAGCGCGCTCACAGGCAGAAGAGGCAGCTGACGTCACGGAAAGGAAAGTATATGATGATAAAATAATTTAAATGGTTGTATTTATCCAGTGTGTAGATGTTGTGTGTTAGAGGGGGTGTGCATCAGAGGGTCCAGGAGGAGACCACAGCCTCCAGGCCGATCCTGACTGGTCGCTGGTCGGAG